AAAAACAGTATGTGTTTCAAGGTTATAAAGCCTCCAACCCTTTTTGCCAAAAGGATATCCCAGGAACAGACACCGAGTTGATCGAGCTGCAAACTTGTCCAACGGTTTGGGACGTGGATGAGCATGGCAAAGACATCCGAATATGCGAATATGATCATAGCTGGGTGTGCGGTTGAAAAGACATTCATATGGTGTTTTTCCTTGGAGAAGAGGAGTGGGGGTTTTATTGATTAAATGTACCGCAGTTAGAACACATTCACCCCAAAACTCGATAGGAAGACTAGCTTGAAAGCGTAATGCTCTTGCAACATTCAAAATATGTCTATGTTTCCGTTCAACACGACCATTCTGCTGTGGTGTGTCTACACATGATGTTTGATGTATAATTCCCATATCGGAATAAACCTTGCGGAGATTATGAGCACAAAATTCTGATCCATTGTCGGAGCGTATTATTTTGACCATGGTATTAAACTGATTACGTACCATGAGAAGAAATCGAGTTAAGTATTGGAACGTTTCAGACTTGGTGGTCATTAAATAAACCCAGACGTTTCTGCTATAATCATCCACAATTGTTAAAAAATATCTTGCACCGGTTAGAGAGGTAGTTTGATATGGACCCCAGATATCGCAGTGAATAAGATCAAAGCATGCAGTAGTTTTATTAATGCTAATAGGGAATACAGTACGAGTTTGTTGTGCGCGTAGGCAAATGTCACAAACTGAAGGAGAATGACCCCTATTTTTATTCACAGTAACAAAAGGAAGAAAGCTTAAAAACTGAAATGAAGGGTGACCCAATCGACGGTGCCAAACATCTGCATTCTGTTGAGTGTGAGCCGCACATGCAGTAGAGATGGATTTGTTGTTGGATGAGTCATGCACATAAACACCAGCTTGCAATCTACCCAGTCCAGTCTTGATCCTCGTTATGGGGTCCTGCAATTCACAGCCATTGTGAGTAAAAGAAATGATGCAATTTGTATCAGCAAGTAATTGAGCAACTGATATGAGGTTGCATTGTAATTTGGGAACATATAACACATTCTGAAGAGAAATATGAGATGTCAACTTGAGACTGCCACTGTGATTGGAAACAAGTTGATCACCATCAGGTAAACCTATTGTAGTGGGTGGAATAGATGTAACATTGGAGATTAAATGGAGGTTCCCTGTCATGTGTTGAGAAGCGCCACTATCCACCAACCAGGTAGAAGGCAGAGTGTGCTTACCAGAAAGGGATGTAGTGTTAGCAGACGGTGTAGTGGAGGAAACAACCATGTTGGCAATTTGCTGTAGAAGCTCAGGACTCAGGTTGGGAATCGAGTTTTGGTTGGACACTATAGGTGTTGCAGCTGCTGTTTGTGATGCAGAAAAATTGAATGGGTTGGGACGCTTGTCATAAGATTTGCCACGTCCTCTTCCACGTCCATATGGTGGTCTTCCATGTAATTGATAGCATTTGGAAACATCATGGTATAATTTACCACAGTGAGTGCAACGAACAGGATCAGCATTGGAGGAATGAGGATTTGAATTTTCTCTTGCAGCATAGCTAAGTGCATCATTACGAGTGTCAGGAGTCTGAGCCATATGGAACTGAGTTTCTTCCTGGACTAGCGTGGAATATGCTTTGTTTAAGGATGGCAGAAGCGGTTGATTGAGGAGTTGTGTTCGAATCGTGCCAAACATAGCATTGTCCAGGCCTAATAGAAATTGGTAGACCCTATCATCTGCCATTTCTTTGGTGATATATTGTGTAACAGGACAATTGGAGCCATGAGGGCAATCTGGTAAGGCTCGTGCAGCATCAAGTTCATCCCAAGCACCTCTTAATTTGGTGTAATAATTGCTAATAGACATGCCTTGTTGTCGTAGCTGAAAAAGATTGGATTTGAGCTGATAAATTTTAGGAGCATTTTGAATAGAGTACCTTTCGCGTAGATCATCCCATAGTGCTTTAGCAGTGGAGAAATAATGAATATATGGCTTGAGAAGTGGATCAATAGTGTTGTGGATCCAGCTGTTGATCATGGAGTTGCAAAGTGTCCAAGCGTGGGTTTCATCAGATGCTACAGCAGCAGGTTTGTGAATGGAGCCATCTATGAAACCGATTTTGTTCTTTGCAAGGAGTGCATTTTTGAATGCTTTGGCCCACACATCATAGTTGGTTTCACCTTTTAACACAACATTGGTGAGAGATAAACCAGGGCTATCAGATGTGGGCATGAAAAATGGGGAACGAGGATCAGACGGTGTAAGGGTAGGGTTGGTTGCATTGGCATTAGCATTGATATTGACAGCGGAAGAATCTGAATCAGAATCAGCCATTGGGAAAGTGGATCGATACCTTCAAACTGATACCATATAGAAAACTAAGAGGATTTGAATATGTTGTTATATTTAATGAAATGGCTGATAGCCAATATATACACAAGTCGGTTATACATAATCAAGGAGGATCAACTAGAATAAAGTATACTGTTCAACAAACTATACATGGAATAATAACAAACTATTCTTGCTAAAAACTAGGACTTAATTGCTAAAGGATAAGATCAAAGGTGATTTTCTCCTAACATTATTAGTGTAATTAGAGAACGTATGGTAACAACTGTACGATTTGCCTCTATTTATGTCTGTTGTCGTCAATGTCGGATAGTTGGTGATGAGGCACTGTTATCCGATGGGATAGCTGATTTCCCGAACTCGTGATTGGGCAAAAATCTGCCTACTTCTTCCTGATTGGCTGAAATAGTTGGCATTTTATCAGCATCTTCTAATGATATGCTGATAAGATGCTGATAAATTGGCATCTTAATTTGGTTTAAATCGCAGCTAAACAAAAAGTAAAACTGCCCTTACTGTTGTAGTGTCTCCTCCATGAATACCATTAATTCACGGATCCCAAACTAGTCACGATCCTCTCAAATCAAACACACACAAAAAATGTTATATTATTTCTACACGTACTCTTTTTTGCGAAAAAAGATAGTTTGATATTATTTGTTATTTTTTTTTATTACCTAGATAGGAGCATGCATGCGTGTGATTGATCGCAATCGCCTCTTGTGAGTAGTCAAGGGTGAAAGTGGGTCGGACCGGCCTACGGCCTAGCCTATATTAGGTCGGATTTGGCCTATTATATATAGTCAAATCAAACAGACTTAGACTTTTAAAGAAACTTATTTAGAAAGTAGGTGATATGTTTTTTTTTTTACATATCGGACCTATAAGCCTATAGGCCAGCATATATTATATTATTTATTTTAAATAAATTAAAATAATATTATTCATAGTAGTACCAAATAGTGATAGTTCAGTTGGTGCATGTGAGCTAAGTAGGTAGCGGAAGGAGTTAGATTCGTTCCCTCACCAATATTATCTTTGAGAGTGGCATAAGATCTGTACCAATCTCTACAGTACCATCATAATCAACATTTAGTGCTGGAGGAAGAGTTATTGATGCCTATCATTTTAGTTTGATTGAAGATACCATTCAAGCTTTAATAAGCGGCGAAGATTGATTATATAATAGGTATGACTTGAAGAGAAAATAAAAGGTATAAATTTAATCAATTGAAATCATTTTATAATTTAATTATATTCGATTAAATTTTAATAAAAATTTGACTTTATTTTTTATGTAGGAGGAACCAAACCAACATCTCAGCATGTGAGATTGCCTATATGAATCTATTAAAATATTTTTTGTTTCTTAATCTTATTTTTTTGTTTCTATTCTTTGTTCTTGTTTTTTGTTTTCTACATTAAGAAATTGTTTGTCAACTTATGTAATCTTGGAATTGTATTTGTAGGGAAGAGAATATAAAGAGAAGTTTTTGGCTATTACAAGCTATGATGCACGGACACTGACATGGGACACGGGATACGGGACGCGTTAATTCTAAAAAATAGCATATTTCGACACGTTGGGACACGTTTTGATATTAAATAATATTTTTAATATATATAATATAATTTATATTAATAGTCAATAATAAGTCATATAACCAATCAAATATTCAAATTTCATAACATAAATATAAACAAAAATAATTTTTCGTACTTTGTTAATTTTTCATGTCAAATTTCATAACAGAAAAAAATTTATTTATATATAATTTTTTTTATTTTTAGTTAATAAAATAAAATTAAGACAAAAAAAAAAACGTGTCTGAGCGTTGGTCACGTGTCCGAAAAAGTTGACTGCGTGTCGAAAAAACGTGTTAGAGCGTGTCCGAGCGTTGACCACGTGTCCCAAAATATTGACCACGTGTCGGACGCGTGTCCGAGCGTGTCCGTGTCCGACACGTGTCCGACACGCACAATTCAAAGAAAATAGCGAGTCCGTGTTTCACAGATTATAAGCACCATGATGTGTTTGTTGGATTCATCTAGTTATTTTAATTTACATAGTATAGATTTGTTTGTTGGATCTGATGAAATATATGTTATTTAGTTTGAGCATTTTACTTTTGAAAGTGACTTAAATACAGATTGTAATGAGTTTTGTTGTGATTCATGGTTCTGTTTGAGCGTTGAAATTGTGATTTTTATTTTAGCAACAGAATTTGAGTATTTTTTGAAGTTGATTCATGGTTCTGCTTGGAAGTTGAAAATTAACAGTCTAATGGGCCAAGTCAGACCATTTGTTTTTGTTATAAACGGGTAAGTCAAGCTAATAGTTAGACTCGTACTAAGCTCGGGTCAAGTCAAATTGAAATTTTTTAACATAGACTTGAATTTTTCGGGACAAAGCTCGACCCAGCCCAACCTACTTTGATAGCTTGATGTTTATATTTTTGTCCATAGCATCAAATGTATATAATATACAAGTCATCTATAAACTTTTATTTTCAAATAAGTAAGAATCATTTCTCATCATATCACAGATTTCAATAGTTTTTTACCGACATGTTCCGTTAGTAAACAAGACTTGAGTGGATCGAGATCTTTTTTATATCTAAGACCACTTTTAGCAATTAGCACCATCAATGGAGGAAGCACATTATTATTGCAATGAAAAGCAAACCAAAGACCTTCCAAAAGTGCTTGTTATTGGTCCTCCAGGAAACATGGCAACCCTCAAACCCAAATACCCTCAAAAGTACAGTTTATCAAACCCATGGGATGCTTCTCTTCCACTGCACAAGTTCATGGCTGAAAACCACTATGAACCAACAATGTTTGAAGCCCTTCTGTGCTGGCCCTTTGGTCCTCCCATCAATGCCCATGTTTTCCAACTTCTCCCTTGTGTGAAGCTTGTTATCACAACAAGCACTGGAACCGATCACATAGACATCAGTGAGTGCCACTGTCGAGGTATTCAGGTTGCAAATGTAGGAACCTTGTACTCAGAAGATGTAGCAGACATTGCCGTGGCTTTGCTCATTGACGTTCTAACAAAACTTTCAGCTGCAGATCGATTTGTAAAAACACGTATGCCATCTGCCACATGGCACTTTCCACTTTGTTCTAACTCCAAGGTTTGTTGTTGAATAATTCTAAGGGTTTTATTAGTTTACATAACTCAATAAAATTTTCCTACACACACACAATTAAGAGGTAGGGTTCACATGTTTTTTTTCTCTTACATCATTCCACTTTCTCTCTCTTCTTTATTGTGAGGGTAGGAAAATTTTCTTATATCCTACAACATTATACTCATAAAACCCCAATTCTAAAGAGGTAGGATCCTTTGACACCGGTGTTAAATTTAAAATTTAACACCTCATCTGATAGCCGTTAGATCAAAAAAAATCAATAGTGTCACATGCTTACAAATCAGAGTCGTTGATCTTTTTTGATCTAACGGCTATCAGATTAGATGTCAAATTTTAAATTTGACACCGATATCAAAAGATCCTACCTCAATTCTAAATCCTCTTAATCATTTCCCTTCAAAAAAGTTTCCTTATTATTATATAAAGTATTAATACGGTAACAAAGGTTGACCCACAGTTGAACCTTTCCTTGACTTTAGTTCAATTATTAGATTTCCTTTTTTAATAACTTATATATCCTGAAAGATTACTTTATATAGAAGTGTGTACTCTATTGATCTAAACTTTACATTCTTTAAATAAATAAAGTGTTCGATCTGAGAGGATCATGACCAATGTAGGATCAGTATGTAATGCAGAGTCTTATGAGAGAGATGCCACAAGGGGTGGGTGACATATTGTGTACTAAAAGGTTTGAAGATTAAGGAGATGATGTGTGTTCACAATAATAATTAAGAAGAGTATGGATTAGAATGTCTGTACCAGATAAACTTAACCCTTAATTTAAAGAGGAGATTACCTGATAGGGTGAGAGTTTTGAGTGAGAGTCAAATTCTTAACGAATGAGATAATATATAATATTCTTTGATATTTGAATTGGTCACTAATATTAATATGTTACTTCTCATTTTCAAAAAAAAATATGTTACTTCTAGAAGCTGTGGGGCCCATTGGGCGGGTTTAGAACATAAGGTAATATCTAAACTTTGAGGAGGATATTCTCACTATCAAAATTTTCTACTACCAACTTACTACCTATTTAATCATCATTAGATTAACATTTTCTCTTTCTTCAAAAATTTTTTAGCATCCTCTCTCTTTGATCCAATGATGATGTGATGGGTAGAAAGTTACTAGTGAGAATTTTTGGTAGTTAGAATATCTCCACTCTTAAACTTTACATTTTTCTAATAAAAACAAAAAGTTTTAATATATATTAAACAAGTGAGGAGAGGTTAAGCTTTTAGTTTGAGTGATAAACTAAGTTAGATGGAAAGATACATCGATAACTAGTCAAATATACACTCATAGCCAATGTTCCATGCATCCTTAATTAATTATTTGTCAAATGAAGGTGGTAGACTGGTAGGTACTTCAATATTGTATGTATATATGTCAATCCCTTGATCATGCCAAACTTTTCTGCAACGTCAATGCTCTACATAGTCTCCTAAGATAACTTTTTGCATTTAGTATTTCTAAAATAATTTGACGAATGTAACTCGATGGAATCACACACTTGGAGCTTATGAAATTAATGTTAATTACTCCATTTTTGAGCTTGCATAATTTGTAGTAACAACATTGAGGTTTCAGCTTGGAGGCAAGCGAGTTGGGATTGTTGGATTAGGAAGCATTGGCATGAAAGTAGCAAAGAGATTAGAAGCTTTTGGATGCATTATTTCGTACCTCTCAAGGAATAAGAATCCCTTCGTTTCAGAGTATCCTTTCTATTCCAACATGGTCGAGCTTGCAGCTACTAGTGATGCACTTGTCCTATGTTGTCCACTAAATGAGACAACGAGGCATATGGTTAACAAAGAAGTAATGTTGGCATTAGGAAACAAAGGAGTTATAGTGAATGTTGGAAGAGGGTCTCTAATTGATGAGAAGGAGTTGGTGAAGTGTCTAATGGAAGGTCATATTGGAGGTGCTGGTTTGGATGTGTTTGAGAATGAGCCTAATGTTCCTCAAGAGCTTTTAGCAATGGACAATGTGGTTCTATCACCACACAATGCAAGTTTTACTATTGAAAATCACATGGCTACGGCTAAACTTGTGGCAGAGAATTTAGAAGCCTTCTTGTCCAATAAGCCCCTAATCACACCAGTTAGATTGCATTGAATAACTTATATATTAAGGTCTTTAAGAATGGAAAAATCTCAGCATGCGAATAAGATTGATTTATTATCATTAATTGTGTGTTTTAATTTAAGGAGGAGTCTTATATTTTTCATAATAAACAATTTCTTTCATGCGAAATATATGAGACTTTGAATGCGATAAAAGGAATTTAAATAATGTAAGTTGCTTATATTTTCATGTGCAACTTGAACACATTCACTCTCCACACGCGTCTTGTAATGTGTCACATGGCTGTACAAACACTCACGTCATCACCATCAAGACATAGATTAACTGGTAAGGAGTTATTTTAGCTTAACCAGTAGTCTTGACTTCGAGTCCCTAGAATCACACCTTTGTTAAAATCTTGAAAGGAAGAGTTTTGCTACTAATGTAATCCTACCAAGCAGAATCAAATTAATGGAATAATTGATAAACTAATGAATAATATCCTAAAAATAACAAACACAAACCTACTCGTTATATTGATAAAGTATATTTTATTAAAGAATAGAGAATTTTCGTCAATCCAAATAATCAAAACAATTTGGTACTACTAAAATGTTGATTGCCTGAAAGCAAACTTTTTGTTGTAAATATGCAAGATATCTGTTATTATTTGTTTGTTTCCTTTATTAATCAGATTATGTAATTACTTATTTTAGTAACTAGATTATGTTTCCTTATTTTTTAAGATTTGGATTTATTTCTTTAGGCCCATTAGTCTCTTTATATATATATATATATATATATATATATATATATCATATTCCTTTGTACATATTTTTTTTGAGAATCCTTAAAAAAAAATAGTTTTTCTTCTTTCAAGTTGGCATCAGAGCTCTCAATCTGGGAGCCTTTTGCTTCCACAGCCACTGCCTCTGGTGCATCCAAGTTACCACCTTTAGTGCAAATCCTCTTGCGGAATCGTCATGCCTCAACTTCCGGTCACTTTTTGGATCACCAATTGCCATCAGAAAATTTTTCTAGCAACTTTTGTGGTAAAGAATGCAACTTTTTCACTTAGAATTTTCAAATCTACAATTCTACAAAACCGTTGCATCTCAGAAATGCCCAACACGCCTTTACACACACCAAAAAATTTCAAGTGTAGTTTTTGATGATGCAAGAACCATCGTCTCGGTTGTTGCTCGCCTTAGTTTCCTCTTTCCAGATCTATCCTCATCTTTTCGATCCGACACCATTTGGGTCGTGGGTCTTTGTTTTCCCATAAATCTCGATTTTTTTTTGTTCGTTCAGGCTTTTGTTGCTTAGATCTGACATTTTTATCGCTGTTTGGGGATTTTCGGAAGTTAACGCTCTAGTTTGTGGATCATTATGGATACTTTTAGTAAGACATCCTACTCTTGCTCTCGTGAAATGACTGGTAAAACACATATACTCAGTGCCTGTTTGGATCCTCTTTTTTTTAAGCTACAAGCTACTTATAAGCATAAGCTAGGCCAAACAGGTTTTGGGAAAAGCTCTTATAACGAAAAGCTCTTTTTTTTATAATGAAGAAAAAAGCTGAAAATTAAAAGCTCCTAGGAGGAGCTTTTTTTTAAGCTCTTATCTGTTTTTCTTGAATTGTGTGCTTTTTTTTAAAATAAAGAGTGATAAAGATAGAAAGAGATAATTTTCTTGAAATATGTGCTTTTAAGTAATTTTTAAGCTAAAACTTTTATGTAATTTCCAAACAGCTTTTAGCTTATTTTTTTAAGCTCTTTTTTTTAGCTTTAGCTTATAAGTAGCTTCTAGCTTAAAAATAAGAGGATCCAAACAGGCTCTCAATCTTTTTTGGCTTCTGGCATTGATTTTGAGAGGTTATGGATTGTGATTCTGGTGAGACTAATCATATGACTTGTCAACCTGATACATTTCTCTCTTATCAACCCATTACTAGTATTCATACTATTACTGTAGCTGATGGGTCTCATGTATCAGTTGCGGGTTCTGGTACAATTCAAGTTCAACCCTTCTTATTTATATAAAATGTTCTACATATTCCCAAACTCTCTCACAATCTTCTCTCCATTCATAAACTTACCACTGATTTGAATTGTACCATAATATTCTTTACTACTCGTTGTGTCTTTCAAGGTCTCACCATAGGGAGGATGGTTGGAGTTGGTAAGGAACAGGGTGAGTTGTACTACCTCCTTCAAGAACATATTGCAAGTAGTGCCCGGGAAAAGTTGTTGATGGCTCATAATCAGTCCACTTTAGAGTCCATGTTTTGGCGTTATCACAAGCGTATGGGGCATCCACCTTTTGGCCTTCTCAAAACTTATTCAAGCACGTGCCTGTTGAATCATTTCATTGAGATGTATGTGAGTTTGCAAAACACATCGTATATCATTTCCTTCTAACTCCCCAAAAAGTGTACTATCCCAGAAAAATAATAGTAATTTATAATAATAATAATAAATTATAACTTAGTAGTAATAATATATATATATATATATATATATATATATATATATATATATATACACGATTGATGATAAATTGTGAGTATTTGAATTATTAATTGATTGGTCATTTATGCATTAATGTTTGATTGGTAATTTGATTAGATATGATGAGTTAATAATAAATCAGTCATGAGTCAGTAATATTCTGAGCCATAAGAAATTAAGAAGAAAAAAAAAAAAATTGTGTGAAGCCTAGCCCATGTCTGAGCCTTAAACTTCAGCTATAAATAGAGGCCTAGCCTAACCCTAATCAATCCTCAATATTTCTCTTCTTCTCCTTCTCCTCTACTACCCTATCTTCTTACTTCAAAAGCTTATTTTATTTTATTTTATTTTTATATTCTTCTGGTTATCAACCAGTTCTCTGTCCCAAATTATTTTTTCTTCTAAAAGTTAGCAAAAACGGAGACCAGGTAATCTTAATCCAGATTTTCAGTAAATCAGGTTGCAAGGAATAGGGCTAGCAGTGAGCAGTGAGGATAACGACTCAGAATTATTAGCTAGTCCTAAATATTATATATAAAATTGTAGTCATTGATTTTATTTGAATGTAATAGAGTCAGCCATCGCTGTAGCACATAATCTTGTCCATAATGACCGAATGAAACATATTGATATTGACCGCCATTTCTCCAAAGTGAAGCTAGATTGTGGATTAATCATTACTCTGTATAATCCTTTTGGTCGCCAATTAGTTGATATCTTGACCAAGGAATTTTCCATTGACAGATTTCAAAAATTTACTACCAAACTGAGAATGATAAATATACATTCCTTAGCTCGAGAAGGAATATTGTAAATATGGAAGAAATGTGTTACTATTTATTTCCTTTATTAGTTAGAGTATGTAATTATTTATTTTAGTAGTTAGATTATGTTTCCTTATTTTTTTTAGATTTGATTTATTCCTCTGGACCCATTAATCTCTTTAATATATCGTATTTCTTTGTACATATTTTTTTGAGTAAATATCTTTTTCGGTCCTCAGTAAATTTTACGATGCCCGCTTTAGTCCCTAGCAAATAAAAAAGCTATTCGTGGTCCCTAAGAAATTTAAAGTGGACCCATTTTAGTCCTTTTGATTGACTAATATGGGTCTTTTTTGAATTTGTGAGGGACCACGATTTTAACTAAATAGATCCATTTTAAATTTCTTAAGAACCACGAATAGTCTTTTTATTTAATAGGGACTAGAGCGAGCATCAGTAAAATTTGCTGAAGACCAAAAAAGGTATTTACTCTCTTTTTTTTTTTTTTGAGAATCAATATTATTTTACAGTTTTTCTCCTGTCAAGTCTTTTTAACCGTGTTTGATTGACATGCGAGCATTGTTTATTGATGAAGACAAAATTGAGAAATAACAATCATTAACAACTATGTAAGGAAAATATTGTAAGAAGGACAATAAAGTAATAAGGACGTATTTTTTATTTATCTATTCTTTTATGAATATTCGTAAATATTAATAGGATTATATTTATTTAATGCTCTTTAGGGGAAACAATATATAAAATTTCCAAATGATAAAGTGATGTGAATCTTACACATGGAAGTACCCAGTTTAGACCTAGTTACATCTAATATGCATTTAGTTAAGAGTGCAGTTTTGATTTAATATATGGGAAAAATGTTTCTGCAGTTACTGTATCTATTCTCAAAACGACGTCGTTTTGCTATTGAAATCTTAAAAAATTATAAATATAAAGACTATTATAATCCTGAAATAAATTAAAATTATAAAAACACCATATTTTTGTCCCAAAATGACATCATATTGAGCTTACTGCAGAAAAAACGAACCCTTTATATATATATATATATATATATATATATATATATGAGTTAGGATCATTTGACATCAGTATCAAATTTGAAATTTGACACCTTATCTGAGAGCCATTAGATCAAAAAAATCAATGACTCTGATTTGTAAGCATGTGACACCATTGATTTTTTTGATCAAATGGCTCTCATATGAGGTGTCAAATTTAAATTTTGACACTGGCGTCAAAGGATCCTACCTATATATATATATATGAGTTTGATGTTTGTCATTTTAAATGACATAAGTTATGTCATTTTAAGAGAAAGATAGATACAAGAAATGGAAATCATGCGAAGAAAGTAGGTGGGTTTTTTTTAATTTAAATTTTTAATAAAAAATATTATTTTGTGTCTATCTCTCTTTAAATGACATAATTTTATGTCATTTAAAATGATAAATATTTTTCTCTCTCTCTATATATATATATATATATATATATATATATATATATATATATATATATATATATTAATTATCTTTTTGAGGTGAGTGGGCTTCCATATATTCTTATAAGTTTTAATTTTTTGAGTTGGTTACAAGATTAATTCTGAGTCAAGTTTAATCACAATTAAAAATTTTCACCCCTCTCAATGGTATATTTGGTGAAAATTGAACTTAAATTTTTTTCACAGTTATTTAACTTGTATTACCATCTAAGCTACACCTATGAGAGTAATGCAGTTATGCTTTCTATGATTCGTTAGCAGTAGTACAAGTACAACTTTAAATAACCAAGTGTATGCTTACTACCATCATTGACCGTGTTCATTACAATCAATAACACGTAGTTACTTTTTACTTTCTCACTTCAATTCACCCTTTGTCCAATACTTTACAAGCGCATAGTAGTCAATATCGGTGCTATTGCATCGCAAGCAATGCCAGTTGTGCTTTGAGGAGCTTTGCCGCAACCATCTGTGCCGCGCCGCACCAAATCGCAATAGCGGCGGCGAAATCTCACCGCAATAATATTTTTTTATGGTTTTAACCCTAACCCACTCTCTCTTTCTGCCTTTCTGTTGTGCGTCTCTTTTCTGCCTCTCTTGCTTTCTTTATCGCGCTCGTTTCTTCTCTTCTCTACTTCTCTCTTATAGCATTGAAGTTCAATGTGGAAGCCATAAACGAATAAGCAAAGCTTCGAGTGAGAGAAAGAGTGAGAGAGAGAGAGTAAGTGATGGAGAAAAGGAGAAAAAGTGAGAGAAATAGTAAGAGAGAGAGAGAACACTTGAAGGACAAAAAGAGAAGATGTGAGAGAGAGAATGGATGAAAGAGAAAAAATGAGAGAGAAAGAGATTCTAATCTATCTTTATTCAAAGAAAAGAAAAGTACATTTGTCATAAAAGTGATTCACAAGTGTTATAGTAAAAGTGGGTGAAACTATTTCTATATCCCAAAAAAAAAAAGAATGTATCATTAAAAGGTAACTAAGGTAAAACACTAAAGTAACTAAGATAAATATGATAAATCAGTAAATTATAGTTACAACTAAAGGTAGTACAACTATAGTTATAGTTTGGACACTTATTACTAAGAGGTAACATGTCAACTCTGCCTTTATTTTTAAATTTTTATTATTATTTATCTTTATATTTTTTTTGTATTTTTTCTAGGTGTTATTATTTTTTTAATAATTTATTATGTTACACACACATATATACATATAATTAGTTTTTTTAATAATTATTTTTTTTTTCCGCTATTTTCACTATTTCCACAACCGCAATCCGCAATAACGCTATAGCACTTTTCAGAGTTGGCCGCATCAGGCCGCAATCCTCATTTAATAACTATGCTTTCAAGCTCAACTAATTAACTAAACCAATTCTTTAGAAAACCTTATATTTCTTGAGACCCAAAATATAATTTAATTTTGTTTTTTAGAAGAAATCATAGATAGATGCATAACACATGACAACAATAAAGGAGACGCCCGAAACTCAGATTTGTAAACCTTACGTTAGCAATTCATGCGCTGGATTTTGATGTCTAGAAGTGACGTAAACAAAAATTAAGGTCAAATACATAGTTTTTTTAAGTGTGCCTACGGGGATTAATTGATATAGAATTGATTTAGTTTACTTTTTTTATCTCGAATTCCAAAAAAATGTTATACTAAAGCGATATGAGTACATATATCGATTTTTATAGAGGTTTGCCTCCTTTTACTAGATGAGGTGAAAATATATGTTCGATCCTCTTCAGTATCACTTTTGAGAGGGATTTACAACTTTAATCTTGAACCCACTCCGAATAGGACTAGTCGCGAAATAATGAATTGATTAGAATATTTTCAAAAATAAAAATCATTTCTTTAAAGGAAAAAACGTTTGTCCTAGTTAAGATTTATTGGATCAAACTTATTAATTAGTTAGTAATTCAAAATAGAACTCAATAAATTCTAACCGTTGATTGACGAAAATCAACTATTAGAATCTAAATTGACACAAAATTATATTCTTTAAAACATCGTACTTTTCCCTTCTTTAAAAACATAATATGCTTTTACTGTGCCATCCCCCGTTTCCATATATGATACACTATACTGAATATAGCATTTTCGTCGATTTAGCTTAAGGCATACAATGGACGCATAATACTTCATTTCTATTACTTATATCAAACTTCATATGCATGTTTTCTTAAACAAACTTTCCTATTTATTATCTTTCTTTGGAATTTTAACTTTAGACTAATATCTAAATATTAGAGTATCCTTTCATGAAACATAATTGATATAAGATATACAATGTTGGATATTAGCTTAAATTTTTATTGAAGCACATACTGATCAAATTTGAGATTGAATAGAAGGGGACAAAAACATAAAAGTGAAAAATTAGGTTGAAAATGATTGTCAATTTACCCTTTATTTTTATTCTATTTTTTGGAGAAAAAAAGGGGGTGACCTAAAATAATCACATGGCATTCATCACGGTGAAGGAGATCTCATGTATTTATGTGTCAGCGCTTGTCATTTCATAATCTTCATCTGAAAAAGCATTACTTACAAAACACATTATTTGTATGAATAATGACATTTATTTCTTATATATCTCAAACATGTAAAACTAATTAACTATTGAATTGGTTTAATTAATCATATGCAAACATGATTAACAAAAAAAAAAAAAATGCAAACATCACATGTTTTCCAGACTGAACAAGAAGCTATTTTTGGAAGAATACATAATATTGTTATTCAATTTCTAGTCCAGTCTTAGCATCAGAGTATTGTACAATGAAGAGATTTTCTAGGAAACAAGGTGCTTTCCTTATATACCTTGTTTCAAGTTAGTGAGGATGGTGTAAACAAATTAAATGAATCGAAAAGCAAAAATGAATGACGTGGGAAAGAAATGATAGGTAAATACAATACAAGCATTGACCCTATCACTTCTTAGACAATTGATCATTCTGGCAAGGCACTTCTCTTGAAATTGCCAAGCTAGAAAGCAAGAGAGAGAGGGTAAGGGTATTATGGAGAGAAAGAGTGTTCTCTGTACTTAAGACCTAATTATGAGGATCATTCATTTAGCTTACAGTTCCGAAGATAGGGATGATTATACTTGACATATTTGGTCCAGTAAGACCGATACTTTGTCATGGCTATCTCTAACCATGGCTTCATATTACCATTGTAGTGTACCACTGCTGCATTTTCAATCTCTTTACGATCTACACTTGGATTGTAACCCAAACCAAGTACATGCCATGATTTATTTAGTGGGTGTGTTAATCCATAGAATGTAATTAGCCCTGGAGGTAATGTTCCCAGCTTCCACAGCACCCTGTCCTCATTCTAAAATCAAACAGGAAAAAAAAAGGGGAGGTTAGTGAAAGATTGTTTGTACTCATCTATTTGTGTGAGAATAGACACATGATGTAAAGCAAGGTTATGTTCAACTGCTCACCATATTCTGCCACTTGTGATATATGCCAGTGATATCCTTCTTTTTCCACTCCTTCAAATCAAACATGTTCATTCCGTATGCCCAACCACAAGCATTTGGATCAAAATTTTTTGCAATATGCGGATTTGAAAAGTTAAGATACTTGTCAAATCGGTGAAAGCTCTCGCCACATGTTTCAACTGCACCATTTACTTTTCCATGAAGATTCACAGCCCATAATCCAGTCAAATCCTTCTGGACAACAATGTCATCATCGAGAAAAAGAATCTTATCCAATTTTGGATATACTTGTGGAAGATAGAATCTCAGGTGGTTGAGCATTGACAGATATTTTGGATTTCTGTACTTCAAATTAGAAGCACCAGTAGTGGTTGGATGGCCTGCCTTGAAATAATACTCTTTCATTGTTGCAGATTCAAGCTGCCTCAAGACTGGGCAGTAGGATGAGTTCAACCACTTAAATTCATCAACATTTTCAACATGGATTGTAGCTTTTCCAGGAGGATTCAACAAAAACCACATGTTCATGGCTCCAAAATTTAGTTTATCAGTAACAAGGTGAAACACATGCTTTGAAGGGTCCTGCAATGTTGAAGACAAGAACATAAGACAATAAGGCCGGTTTAATTATATTACTCACCAAATCATAAGATATACTGTACCAGCAAAATATGTGTGGGTCATACAGTACAAGCACAAATTATTCATCATATCTAAAAAAGGATGCACTTGAAAGACATGTGCATACACACTGGAATAGTAGAAGACAGTCTAATTCACCTTTGCATTCACAATTGTTGAGTTGACAACCACAGATGCAGCCAAGACATTGTCTGAGAACAGGGCATAATGATAAAGACTAGGATTCTCTAAATTCTCACTCTTAGGGAACTTTCTCTTTTCAAGAGGAAGGAGGTAGTAATCTATGGTAAGCCGCATCGATAAGCAATGAATTCCATTTGGTATGGTCTTGGCAGCCAACTGACTAAGGAATGTGCTTTGTTTCTTCAAGCCCCTAACTTGCTCGTCAGCTGTTTGTAGCATTGCCCTCAATTTCCCAGTAACCAACTTGCAGTCATACAATTGCTCTTTTGCTCTAGAAAGAACTTGGCCCATAGCTTTGATTTTTTCATGTTCACTACAGATAATTAAACATTTAACTAGTTAAGTTAGTAAAAGCAGACAAAGATACAAGATTAGATAGATATATACTTTAGAGAAAATTGCACATAGCTTCATACCCGTGATGTAGGTCAGCATCAGAAGTTGCCTCACCTAAAGCACGTTGACTATCTCTAAGCCGAGATTGCAGTTCTTGGTACAGTTGAAGCTTGTTCTTCATCTTTGCAATACTCAAGTATACCTTAGCCATAATGATTTGGTCTCGCATCAACCGAACTGTAGCATCAGGATTTTCATTCTCATTTTCTTTCCTCCAAATGTTGTATTTACCTAGAACTGCTGAATCGACTGATTTTGAGTGTTCAATAGCTGAATCTTCAAGTTTTACAATTACTTCTTCATCCTGTTTTACCAACTCAGCAGCACGCTTTTCCTTCCTTTTCTCTATTAATTGCTGCAGAACATATTTACAAAGACAAACAAAGTTTGTTTCCATCATTTTTTTGTCGTTTCTAAAATAAAGTATCACTCCACGAGTCAAACAACATTTTCAAACAGAACATTAGACACATGTTAGGGTAATTGGTGTACAGTAGCTTTAGAGTCAAATGTATTTTGGAAGAATTACTTTAAGAAGAATAAGCTTTATGTTTGGGAATCTTCAGCCACAGGTTATTTATAAGAACAAGGTGTTAGGATAGTCTTGGGTAAAAGTATAGATTTACCCAAAAGTGAATAAAATTAATTCCAAGATAATATTTATATTGGGAAATAAGGATAAAATTATAAAACTCCAATGTGTCAAAATATATTCTGGCTCAACTCCTTTTCAGCCAGAAGTAACAAACAGGACAGCCCACCGCGGAAGTATAACATAATTGTAGGTTGGGGTCTGGAAAGGGTTATATGTAAGAGAAGTGAGGCTGTTTTCGTAACTACCACGACTACCGTGACCAACAAGTTACAAGGTGTGGCAGAATACCCAACAGAACAAACTTACATTGGTAAATGGTATCTAGACAAGCTACATGTAAGTTAAAACAAGAAAAATATCGAAGGATGATGCTCACCCTCCTGGATAGCTGTGCAGGGCTATCAGTCCACTGCCCACGATCAACTGCATTAATAAAAATAAATAAATGAGAAAGTAAATTAAAATACAACATAGGCATATTACCTGATAGTATGATACCACCTGAAGATCTGCCTTCCTTCCCCTTTTGTTTTTCTTGTCTAACATGTGTTGCCGATTGGTTTGGCTTTATTTAAAAATAAAACAATGAATCAACATACAGTAGCAATAAAACAAGAATGCCTTTTTTTCTCTTCAATACAGGAAATGAAAGTTTCATGCAGAAGCACATCAGTCTTCCTAACCTGATAGGCAGCATTTGAAGTCTTTAGCCCAACAACTCTCCATGAAGCAGACATATTATTTTTCCTGAAACTCTCAAGACTCAAAGGCCCCATATCATTTGTGCTGGACACAATAACATCAAGAACCTAAAATATAATATTTATCAGAAAGCCATCGAGATAACTCTTACATAAAAATTTTATGAGATATGGAACAAGAGTAAATATCAGCTTGTGCTTGCCTCTTTTGAAAAAAGCGATTTAAGGTCCTGCAATGCTTGCCATTCTCTCCATTTGGCAACCTGCAACAACCAACAACATTAAGGAAAACAAATAAAAACAGCTAGAAGCTGTATGTGTTTAGGTAATAACCAATAAACCTGAGAATCTATAAAAAAAGGCTACCTGTGTGCTTGTAACAGCTGGAATATCATCTTGATCTGCACAACATATTTGAAGTAATTACATTAACTTAAACTCATAAATACATGAAAATAATATAAATCAATAGAGATGTTAATCAAAATGTTTTCCTCCTCACGTCAAGGACATTACCCCGCCACTTTAATTTTCACAATTGGACAACAAAAATGAGGATTCACAAAGCATACTATCAGCATGTCCAGTAACTTAGTAGAGGGAAGAGATAAAATACTTCAAATATTATTTTAATTTTATATGTGTGTTTGCCATCACTGAAGTCCCAACAGTACAAGCATAACTAAGTCACAATAAAAATTGCTCTTCTTGTCAACAAAACATTATTTTACTTATGCATATTACGGGGACAAAACCAATTCTAAAAACTTAATGATATGGTCAGAGGGTAATTTGGAAAATAATAACAAATAGTAATACTTATGCATACACAAAAATTAATACTGTTAGAACTTAGAATTAATATAAAACAATGCATTTCCACGTTCATTCCAATGTCTAAAAGGCCATTTAGAATGCTTTAGCATAAAATTAATACATTAAAATGCGACAGACTTAAAAATTCAAAAAAGAAAAAGAGAGAGAGAGAAAAACTAGAAGAAAGCAAATATATATATATATATATATATATATATATATATATATATATATAAGCATCTGATATGACATACGTATTTGAGACATATTTCTTATATCTTTCCAATTCTTTAATTCGGTAGGTAGCTTGCTTTCCATAAAATGGCACAGGAATCATTATTCACAATCCCCACCAAAGCCTTGGCCCTTAGATCAGTTTTAAGGCAACATGTCGTATGGATTGCAAGTCTACAGAGTCTGAGGCATGTTTATTATTAAGCCATGAGACCCAATAACTAAGATGGTAAAGAAACAAAGGTTCTCTCCACAATATATTTGTGCAACCTTAAACGGGATATAGTCAGTAATTTCTAGAGCATCCATATAATAGAAGAAAGAAAGATTTAAAACAAGATATTGATTCAACTAAACGGCAATGAGTTATGCAAGAAGGATTGGAAGCATAATTGCGAGTCACAAACACAGGGATAAGCAAAGTGAGATACATATCTTTGACATAAAATTATATGAATATTTATGAGAAATATTCATGGCAAGTAATAAGAGAATAGATCTAAGGTTATAACTTATCATATCAACTAAAAAAGTCATTGCCTAACTACCGGCTGCTCCAGCTAATCCTACACAAAATCTCTGATTTCTAATACTGACATCACACTACACTTCCTATGTTTGCTAATCTCACAAAGCCCTAGCGTCTCCAAGGAAAGCGCAACGAAGAAACATTTACCATAAATTTCCGTATTGTACTTCTTTCTTACCACGAGTTCTTAATCCATAAATGCTGCTTGCCAATTACAATTTATTTTTTTTAAAAGCATCAAACCGATGAACTTAAGAAAAGCATACACTCTTGCTAACCAAGCCTTGATTCAACCCCGTAGAGGTGTTTTTGTCTCAGGATCACCTGAAAATGCAACTTCGTTGCTCCTAAAGTGAACTTAAACAACAGTGATTGAGACCATTCAAGCATCTCAATTTAGTAGGAAGTACAACTTCAATCACACATTCACAATACACATTATAATCATCAACAATCACCAAGGTTCTAAATCTCTCAAATAAGAAGATAATATCTCAAACCACAAAGAGCATCAAGATAATGAAACCGGGGAATAAAGGGAAGGATAAGACCAAAGTACAACTTCAAAAAACAAAAAATATTTAAGCGCACAACTTCACACTACTTTCAGAACTCCCTTTTCCACTACCATAGGAAGCACAGATCTTGCAACCCTAAACACCAAACGAATCTGCATTTCATCATCTAATGCCATAGCAACGAATTGAAAACGATAACCTTTCTTGAACTAGGGTGAAACACTTCCCAATTGAACAAACACAAAAAAAAATGCCACCCCAAAAAATAAAAATAAAACGTAATATCAAATAAATCACAAACACTAAAAAACAACCAACGCCCAATTCTCATTTTAATTAAAGGATCTGAAAAAGATATAACATTTGAGAAATAAAACACAAAATGACAAAAAAACAAAATTATAAAAAGATTCAAAGCAAACCAATCAAAAACCAAAAAAGAGAGATTAGATTGATGGAGTAGAGTAGGAACCGGGATGAGTGTGAATGGGTCTTGCGAAGAAGAAAATGAGGGGCGCGAGAAGGCAGAGGAGAAGGAAACCCATGAGAGGAAAATGGGTTCCCTTGCTGCTCCTGTTGTTGGGCGCCATTGGAGATCAGAAGAAAAAAAAATTAGGAGCTTCCAAGAGAGAGAGAGAGAGAGATCTGAATCAAATCAAAGTGTAATGCTACTCCAAATCCAGAGAGAGAGAGAGTATGTGAGTGTTTTGGTTGGGATTTTGGGGAACTTTCCCTCAATTTTTCCTTTTGCAATTTGTGTTTTCCTTCACTTTCTCTATAGCTGTTTCCTTCTGTCACTTTCCTTTTTATTATTATAATTACGCGGAATGTTATAATTAGTGTTAGATCAATTTCAGGTTAGATTAATTATGTTGATCTAAGTTTTTGTTTTTATTTATGATTTTTCATATATAATATTTTAATTATTTTAATAGTCATATAATATTTTATATTTATTTTTACTTTATATAATTATGATTTCTCATATTTAATACTTTCATATTAAATATGGAAATTATAACAATACAAATATGAAAATAAATATAACCGTTAGATCAACATAATCGATCCAACGAAAAAATTAATTGGTATTAACATTAGTAGTAACCTTAATTAGTTGTTACAATATCATGCCCCATGTTATTTTTTTTAGATATTTATCATCAATTTTGACTTACTACTCTCTTACATATATTTAGTTATCATTTCATTAATTTAAAATCAGAGATTAATCTAATAATAACCAAATAAATAATAAAAATAATAAACCTAAAATAATGATAACTGTAACTGTCGTTACAACTAACAAAAATTTATGATTAATTAAAAAAATTAAATTAAACAAAAAAAAAAAAACAATGTGTCATTTTCTTAAAGGGAAATTATCCTTAAAATTATTTTTCAATTTAATGTATAAAACTACATCTTTTTATTTGAACTAATTTAGATTTTTTATTGTGGAAACTATCCATTGCGGGAATAAATCTTAGGTGTATTTTTTGCATCTAGATTCAGTGCATCCCACCAATAGAAGCATTACACATCAGAGGAGAGAGAAAGAATTTGGCAGAAGAAAGAGAATATTGGCTGACATGTAATATTTTTATTAGTAGAATGCACTGAATCTTTAGTGCAACAGTAGCACCAAAAATTTATTTCGATTGCGGCGATGAGTATTAATATCTTTAATTTGAACTTCGCTTTCTGGATCAATCAATTTAATTTGTTGATTGTCCTTATCAAATCACATGGGCATTATTAAATTCTGATAATGAAACGAAACCGTGTACAGTCATATTCTCCAAACTAAACAGTACTGGTGCACAACTGTATCCCAGTTAGTTATTATAGATAAGTTTGAGAATTATTTTCATTTATAAATAAAGTTTCTTTTATATAAAAAGCTATAATAAAAGCTGTTTTAATTTTAAATTTTAAAATTTTTCACTAACAAGTATCTTAAGAGTATTAGTTAAAGAATTTTAAAATAATAAATAAATAAAACACATAGCTTAATACATTAAGAATTTAAGCTCTTCTGAGTAATTAAAACTTTTAATAAAAATTACTAAATATATTGATAAGACACTGTTATAAGAAATAAAAATTAATAATATTCAAAGTAATAACATATTTAGGACATTTTATTTTTTTTAATCTTTAACAAGTATCGTTTAGATATTAATTAACAATTCATTATATATATACAAGTATCATTTAGATATTAATTAACAATTCATATATATATATATATATATATATATATATATATATATATATATATATAAAAGGAAAAACTACTCTTATGCTACATGTGATAACTTTCTCTCCTACACACCCTTCGATAATTGTGTCATTTTTTTTCTTTTCTTTTCTTTTTATATTTCAATGGTGGAGTCCACAAAATTGTCTCTATGACATGAGATAACTTATCTCCTTTAACATGAGATTAATAAAATTCATATATATATATATATATATATATATTAATTGGTAAATTTAACAACAATAATATAAATAATTTATAACCTAAATTTAAACCCTATAAATAATATCAAACAATTAATATTATTAAATAATATATATCCCTATATATATAAGAGTTTATTATTTTTCATATTGTAGGAGATAAATTTATCTTACACACATAAAAGTGGGTGGGACCCATGTGAACAAATAAAAAGAAAGAAAAAACAAAGGTCACCCTCACTTTTATATGTGTGTAAAAAATAAAATTATTTCCTACAGCATGAGAAACAATAAACTCATATATATATATATATATATATATATAAAGGGAAAAAATATTTCTACAACTACTTTAGATAACATTATTTACCGTTACCCTTTTTTAACTAAGTTTGATCAGTAAAACATAGTTATAACAATAAAGTTGTTCTTTTTCTCTCTTCTCAAACATTGTGGGCTGACTAGACGAAGAGAAAATGCAATTTTTATATCTTACTGATCAGATTTAGTTAAAAAGATAGTAGTAAACAACCTTATCTAAAATGGTTGTAGTCTACAGCTATCCTTTTTAATTAATTCTGATCAGCAAGACATGGTTATAACAATAAAACTGTTATCTAAAGTGAATGTAGAATTACTTTTTCACATATATATGGAAAAGTATTTGTCTTTTTAAAGGATATAAATTTTTGTCATTTTAGATCTTAATCGTTGATTTCCGTCAATCAACAGTTAAGATTTATTAGGTCAAACTTATTAATTAATTAATAATTTGCAATAAAATTCAATAAATCCTAACCGTTGATTGACATAAATCAACAGTTATGATCTAAAATGACAAAAAGTTTTACCCTTTAAAAAAACAAATGTTTTTCCCTACATGTAGGAAAAAGTATTTCTACAGCCACTTTAGATAACGTTATCTACAACTACCCATTTTTTTAACTAAGTTTGACCAGTAAGACATAGTTATAACAATAAAGCTATTTTTTTCTCTCTCCTCAGTCATTGTTTGCTGATGTGGTGAAGAGAGAAAATGTAATTTTTATGTCTTACTAGTTAAACTTAATTAAAAATGATAGTTGTAGACAATCTTATATAAAGTGATTGTAAAAATGTTTAACCATATATATATATATATACATTGGCGGACCTACATGGTTGCCTATATGTGCAAGTGCAGACATAATTTTTTTTCCATTTGAAATAGCTTGGAGAGTAAAGTACATTTCAGGTCCTCAAAGAAAAGTCTTGGGGCCCATTTTAATCCATTGAAAAAAAAGTCGACTTGTAATTCCTCTTAAATTCAAAATAGACACAGTTTATCAGAATTATGGTTCCTCTGAAATTCAAATAAGACCCACGTTAATCCTCGAAAAGAATAACATAGGTCTATTTTAAATTTCAGAGGAAGCACAAGTAGATTTTTTCCTAAGGAATTAAATTGGGCCCCGTGATATTTGTTGAGGATCCAAAAGATACTTTACTCTTTCTTGAAATAACATTTAAAAAAAGAAGAAGATAAGCGTGAAATAGCAAAAGTTAATATACGTGAATAGTTTTCTTTTTTCTTCTTTAATTTTTTTTTCGTGAATAACACAATCCCTCGTTTCTAAGTGTGCAGATATAAAACATGCTTTAAATCAAATAAGTCAGTTAACTATAACCAAAAAAAAAGTCAGTTAATAAATACCTACAAGTTGCAATTAATTGGGGATAAGTTAATATAAGGTTTAACATTAGTAGACATTAATTTACTTGTAACCAGAAATCTAAAATCATTAACATGTTCTCTTATCAGGCAGCGGAAAAAGACAGAAGTTATTATTGCAGTTAATGTACTCATTTTTACGTGACAAAGTGTCCAAAACAGATGTCAAAAGTACGCGAAAGTAATTTGAATTCAATGTGTATTCTAACAATATATTCATCATCCAGTTATATATGACCAAATATATGCCTTTTATGTCACTACCTTTGGATATCTTGTGGGCCATGCCCACCACTATTTCCTCAAGATAAATTTTTTGTTTTGGATAAAACAGGAAGAAAAGAACAAGACCAAATTAACTAGCAACCAACCTGGAGAAAAAAAAATGCTGGAACTTACTTTATTTTTAAAAAAAAAGAAAAAAAATCGAATATAAAAAATCAAAGTGAGAGTAAGAGATAAAATTTTTCTTACGTGACATAAGAGAAATAAAACCTTTATAATATATATGAAAACTTGGATATATATTGGATCCCTATGCATGAAATCTTGTTTCATTTGCAGACACAAATTATGATTGAACAAATGGAAGAGCTTATGATTGAACAAATGGAAGAGCTTCGCAGAAAGATAAGAAAGGTTACATTTTTTTTCTCTTAAAATTATCTTTTTATAATCTTTAATTAAAATAATATTTTAGAGGTAAATTATTGTCTAAGGTTCTATTTGGTAAACATGTTGAACACTTCTAATTACCTAATGTTGGTTTTCTCATTCATCTTGCAGGAACACCATCTTGGAGACCTGAATTAGACTCAAAGTTTGCACTGTGACAACTAATTCCTACATAACGTGCATCATTTCACTGTGAAAGAGTATAATTTGAATTTATAATTTTTAATTAAGACAGAACAAAAGTAAATATAATTACAAAGCATACCATAAGTAGTATAGTTTAGCGTTTTTCTTTCGTTCACCCAATCAAATTATTTATTAATTAAATCAAATTATAATTAACTCCAAACCTCACTCTTGCAAACTCAATTTTTATTTATTTATTCATATTAATTAATTATCTGACTAATCCAATTCTACTTGAACTCAAGACTACTGATTGGAGATTGCAAACCAAAAATCTAATTATACTTAATTCTTACTCTTTTTGGATTACCATAATTAAATATAGTTCCTACAATTCAAAATGGTTTAAAAAGGTTCTCAAAATTTTCGACCAGGTCTTGTGGTAACAGCGAACACATGTAAATAAAAAATGAAAGTCGGAATATGTTTTCTTCCTCCAAAATGATATTGTACCATTAAATTAATGATAGGACCTACATACTTAATGGGTTCTCCTGAAATTAAAAATTATGATTTTCCTTAGAGGAAGAAAATCCTTCCCCTAAGAGCAGGAAAGAATTTCTCATATATAGAAAATAATTAAGTGATACATAATATATTGTGATTTAGTGAGAGAACACTTAAAAAATTTTGTGCTAATACACATGAATAATTTTGTTTTTTTTTCCTTGTTCCAATGTTTATGGCAGAACTTAGCCATCAATAAATATCAATTTCAAGCCACTAGGTTGTATGTAGCACCGATACTGACACGGAATACGGGACATGACACGACACGATACTCTGACACGTTAATTTTAAAAAATATTAGATTTTGACATGTTAGGACATGTTATGATATTAAATAATATTTTTAATTTATGTTGCGTATATTATATTTAATATTAAATAATTTTACAAAAAAAGAGCTAAACTTATAATACCTATTAATTTTGCAAAGAAACATAACAAATCACAAATATTTATATTAAATTCAATAAAATAGTAATAGTAATCCAACAAATCTAATAGTTAGAACTAAAAATGCAATGAAACGTAACCTTTGAACTTTTTTTTGAGTTTCTACAACCCGCATTGGAGTGTCGTGGAGTGTCAGATAGTGTCGGACACGACACGTCAAGATTTTTGAAGTGTCGGTACTTCATAGACTAGGTTTGGTCTAGTGATGAAGGACTTTGATAGTTTGTATTAGGGGCTTACATATAACATGTCACATGACACACACAAAATTTCTACACTCACAACATTTTGTGGGGACTGCACTTTTTGAAGCAAAAATAAAAATAAAAATGGTACGCAAAACGAATTTCTATAACATTACACAATCACTTTTCCTACAACATAACTCTTATAAAATATTATGTCATGTGTTTAATTTTTATTTTATCCAAACAAACAAAAAATATCAATTTCCATCCAACATAACATTGCCAAGATACTATTGCATTGCATGGCATTAGATTCCCACCAAAATGAGCAAATGAAAATCAGTCATATAAATAGGAAAAGATAATCAGATTTTGAGATTTCCAGCAAAATCGGAGGAATGGTAAAAAAAAATAGTAACAATGATATGTATGCTTGCCATTTCCCCTGACTCTTCTTTATTTGCCAATGATAAAACCACATTGTGTAGTTATATGCAACCCTCAATGTCCATCCATGGTGAATAGGTGATAGCTCTCTCCGCAGGGTTGTGACAAACCCCAAAATGAAAGGCTGTTGCTTCCCTGTGACCTTTGGTAGGCCCCGCAGCAGCAGGGGCAGCTACAGGCCTGTTAGAAGTTCCTCTTTCGGTATTGTTTCTCCCTCTTTTCTTTGATTTCATTCATACCCCATCTTTTTTATTTTATTTTTGGGTTGACTTGTATGTTAACTATGATCATTTTTTGGGTTTTGGTTATTTTTTGGTTTGAAAACAATTTTGGTTGGTCCTTTCCCTAGCTCTTTTGATGCCCATTTTGATTATTAAGCTAAGTTGTATATGAAAACTATCATAAGGCTTGTTGATTGCATTGGTTTCTGTTCTGAATTTGGTGTAATTCTTCATTCATTATATTGGTTCCCCTGTGTGTTTCTGGAGCCAATAATCTCAAGTTCTAGTTACAAAGACCAAATTTAAGTCGAGATTGACAATTATGTTGGAATTTTGATTGAAAATAGTTAACAAGGTATCAAAATTCTCTATAATCATTTAATCTCAAACATGATATGTACAAAATATAATATACTAAAGCTTGGGTTATAGCCTTTTTGATTACGTGGAAAGGATAAACATGAAGCAATCATAACTACTATTGAAAGAACAACCGCAAATAGTGGGTGTGAGGTGAGGACAGAAACTATAATTGTTTCGGTGAAGTAATCAAAATAGAATAAAAAGATGGTTTTATGTTTGTTATGTTACGTAATATAATTCCACCTTCCTACACACACAACAAAGAAGTGAAAACCATATATTTTTCTCTCTTTTTTTCATCATTTCATTTTTTCTCTCTTCTTTATTGTGAGTGTAAAAAAACAAAATTCTGTTATAAAATATAACAAACATAAAATCCATAAAAATATCTCCTAATGATAGCAATAAAAATGAACCTACTTCTCATATTAAACTCATAACAAAGGCCCAAAAACCCAACACAGCATACATGGGTTTAAGTGCTCACTGTAACCCAATAACAAAAATAATCATCACATATGAACTAAAAACGCAATAGATACCCCCACATTATTTGACATTCAATTAATCTGAATTTTAGGAATTGATAACTATACTAGTCCTTCATGTCCGGAGAAATGGGAGGTTTTGGGTTCAAACATTACTAATACTAGCCCAAGGATTTTCATCTAATTTTCTATTTGGCATGAACATTAGGTTTTTTTTTAAAGTTAACCGGACCACTAATGATTGGGTGATTATTTATCCAAAATAAAAAATTTCCTCCCATTTAAATCTCTTTCTTTTTTCATAATTTCCTTTCAATCTTTTTTCTCTCCCATTTTTGGACAAGGAACATGTGCTCCAGGAGTACCAAAAGTGAGCTCAGTTATACAAATACTGAAATCACACATCATATTGGAAACAAAATTTGTAGGGATAACTTCATTTTGTCATTACCTGAAGGTTTGCCCTATAACTTAAATTTTCACAACTAGACACGTAAAAAAATTATGGAACAACATAAAATATTAATAAAATTATTAAAAAGTTATAGGTCTAGTGACGATCCAGCTATACTCCAAGAATACCTACTTCAAGGGTAATGATTCAATTTCAGAGAGTCACAACTCTTGAAAAAAATGAGAGGCTCAAACCTGAAACTAGATTAGTCTTATCCATGAGGGGGTGTTTGGTTCAGGTTAAATTTTTTTTTACTAGGGAAATGTTATTACCATGGATTTGTAGGAAAACTGAGTTAGATAAGAAAGTTTGAAAAAAGTTGTTTGGTTGGACAAAATTTCACCAGAAAAATTGAGTGAAATTTCTGAATCTGTGTTTAATTGAAGATAAAAGATTGATGGAAAAACTTATTGAAATTACAAAAAAAACCCTTTTAAAAATATCCACATAACCCTTGTAACTTCTCCGACGCGGTATATCCTGTTCACGGGCGTCTTCTTCGACTAGCTACGAGAATGGAACCAGCTACCAAATAAAGGGTCACATGTCAGTTAACATATCTCCACAACGCATACAATCGGGTCCAGCCATTTTCATCAAAATGTGAGAATATACATAAACTGGACTCAAAACTGCAAAAATAACCGAGTTTCATTCTCGTTTACCTGAGCTCCCATCATAACCATTTGGCTTTCTTCACTCAAACTTCTATTTGGGTTTCTTCAGAACCACCAATTTTGGGTTTCAGAACATAGACGAGTGATGTTTTGTGAAAAGTTGTTTGCTGACATGTGAGGGTAATCTTGTACCACTTTATTCACTTCTCCAGTTTTCAGAAAAATACCATGTCCCAGGCAGGCTGCTTTCGTGAACCGTGGTTTTGTCCCTTTTTAACATGCAATTGTAGATAGCTAGGCAACTTAGAGTGATGGGTAAAATTCATGAAATTCTTCTAACAAATGTGGAGAATTGAGAATCCAAAGATTAGTTTGCTAGGAAATCACTCAAAACTCCTGAACCAAACACCACCTTAGAGCTTTTTTAAAAAAATATTAACAAAATTAATCACTACTAATTCTTGACAAAAAAGTTATCAAATATAATTCTTGACGAAATTAATTATTACCTCTGCAGAACTGTGAATGGTGTGAAAATGAGTAGGATTTCCGATTTCATATTCTTTACTTGTTTTTAACCTGCTTTTAACCTGGAGCCATATCTCATTCGTTTTATATTCATTTTGAGATATTGTTGGGTCGTTGGATTCAGGATTTTTTTTAAAAAAAAGCGATTCTAGAGTCAATAAACTCGAAATTCAGATATGTACAAAATCCCTCTAAATTTTTTTAGAATTGTTCAACAAATTTTTTAAATAAATATTGAACAAAACGGTTAGGGTTTTGATCATTTTCCCCAAAGAATAAAACTAGGAGTTCGAGTTTTCATATGCAGCTATGCTTAAAACTTGGTATGTGGAGTTTTGCCATTGACGTGGTCCTATTCAATTTGAATCGGATTACTCAAGTAATTGATGCAATTTGCAACCTTAACATAGATTCCAATATCAAGAACACCTAATTTACAACCACAATTAGGATTAAATTGGCTCTAGTAACAATTGTTGCAATTTGCATTCAAAATAGTTAACAACATTATTAAGTCATGTACAAAATATAATACACTAGAGACTGGGTTATATTCATGGAAAGGAAAAATGTGAAGCGGCTATAACAAATATCTTCAAAAAAAAAATCACAGTGGCTGTGAAATGAAGAGAGAAATTATCTTTATTTCGTATGTACATAAAACCCCTTGTGGTCTCAATGGAGCATAAATGCATCTTTTTGTCTATGCATGCATATAACACCTTTTCAATATCCCTAAAGTCTTCACCCATCAATCATTTTTCTATATGAAAATTTACAATTTAATACATTAGATATTAAACTAAAGAAATTTCTGTCTTCAGGAAATTCGTTAGCTGCTAAATTGGTTGAAGTTAAACATGATAAACTGCCAATATTTTCAATGAATCTGTCTAATTTTATAATTTTTATATTTTTTAGTTCTGCTTCTTTCTTATGAATTGGTAATGAGTTGCAATTCATCTTTGTAGGTTCAACTAAACGTGGGGCACATGCCAGAAGAGAGAGTCATAGAGGACCTGTGGTTGTTTGCTTTGGGGAGATGATGATAAATTTTGTTCCCACAATAACTGGAGTGTCCCTTGCAGATGCACCAGCCTATAAGAAATCCCCTGCTGGAGCTACTGCCAATGTTGCTGTTGCAATATCTAGACTTGGAGGCTCAGCAGCTTTTATTGGCAAGGTGAAATTCTCCTTAATATTTTCACTCTGCTCACTATATATTTTGGCAGTGTTTTTTTTTTTTTTTTTAATTATTATTACCATCGTTTGAAGACAATGGCGGAGTCAAAAAAAAAATTTTCAAAAGAGGTGAAGGTAGTATAAGAGGGGTGTATTGGATTGAGATTTTAAAAGATTCAGTATGTAATTAAATTTGAAGAACTCTCTAATTTTATTTCGTATATGAGGATAAAAGCTCAAAGGCTGAGCTTGAGGGGGTTAATTTATGCTACATTTTTTCTTAAGTCTAGTTGAGGTATTAGACAAATATTTGCATGAAGTTGAGGGGAGGCGATCGCCCCTCCCTAACTCCACCACTTTTTGCAAGAATTCTTTATGTAAAATCCTATTGGTGCTACTGGTAACTTTGCATCAAATGTCTGAATCAGTCTTTACACATAAACAATTTGACCCTGTCTGTTAAAAGTGATACATGTAATTTCTTGGTAGCTTCTCAACCAGACATTTTGTTTTTTCATAGTTTATGTTCGCCTGATAATTCTAGACTAAAGCAATTTCCAATACATTACAACATCGTAGCCTATTTTTAATGTTTCATGTCAACTTGAGGAGCTAATACTTGGTTAGGATTGTGTATGTCATAAAATCAGCATTTTTGTCTTAAAGGAAACAAATTTCCATGCATAAACAACATCTTTATATGTGAATGTTTCTTTATATATATGGGAAAATTGGGTGTCCAGTCACTGGATATAAGGTTTTGTCTAATCACTGTATTATAACTATGTACTCCAAGGAATACACAGTTATAATGTCAAAGTTGTAATTTTTCCTCTCTCTTCATAAACTTGTCTGCTGATGTGGAAAATGAAAAAAAGTACAACTTTGATATTTATAGCTATGTATTCCTCGGAGTACATAGTTATAATGCGTTGATTGGACAAAATTTTATATCCAATAACTGGACACCGTATGGATCCTATATATATATATACCTGAGTCCATCTGTCTGACCACAGTGTCTCTAATATTTGCATGGAAGGTGGGAAAAGATGAATTTGGCTATATGTTATCGGATATTCTGAAACAAAATGGTGTTGACAATTCTGGCCTGCTCTTTGAACCACATGCAAGGACAGCATTGGCATTTTATTCTTTCAAGGGTGATGGGGAGCCTCAATTCATGTTTTACCGAAACCCAAGTGCTGATATGTTTCTTCATCCAGAAGAAATTGATGTGAACCTCATAAAGAAGGTGATACCAATTAGTATAAAAAAGTATATGAAACCTAAGAAAATCCATCTTGGTGCTCCAATAACATGAAATCGTCTACATTATTATAAAATATATTTATGGTTTAAATTTTAATTTCTATAAGTTCAAATAAAAAATTGATTCCAGAAATAAATACTACTTTTCAATCTTAAACTAAAATGCTATGATCTTCAGTTCCACAAGTTGCTTCAAACCTCATAAATTGACAGAACTCTACTTTTTAGTTTTGTTGGTTTCATTAAGTATCTTATGCGATGCAGGCCACAATTTTTCATTATGGTTCAAATAGCTTAATTAAGGAGCCTTGTAGGTCAGCTCACCTTGCAGCAATGAATGTTGCAAATATGTCTGGAAGTATCCTTTCTTATGCCCCAAATTTGACATTGCCACTGTGGCCATCCACAGAGGCTGCTAAGGAAGGCATCATGAGTATCTGGAACTATGCTGACATTATTAAGGTACATGTTTTTTTGTGTGATATAGAGAAAGAGAAAGTGAGTCTCTAAGTATACAAGTGTTATATCATAAATATTTCAAAATGGTCCTTTAATGTCATTTTTGACATCAATGAAAATGGGTATTAACTATTAACTCTATTATACGGTCTGTTTAGAAGTATTTGCAACATTATTTGAGTCTGCTTCTGCTTACTGAACATTAGGCTCATTTTGTTAAGTACAGGTCAGTGTGGAAGAAATTCGAATCTTGATTGAAGGTGATGATCCTTATGACGACAAAGTGATCATGAAGAAGCTGTACCACTACAATCTCAAACTTTTGCTGGTCACTGAAGGAGCTCGGGGTTGTAGATACTACACAAAGGTTTGATCAATAAACAAAAACTTGCATGATTTATATTAATTTCTACAAGCATAATGTTGTCTTATACGAATGAGTGTTAATGGGACTAAATCCTAAATGTGTTGTGTAATGTAAACATTTTGTTCTAGATACATGAAATAGAGCCTGACTGGTTTTTTTTTTCCCCTTATTTGCTAATCCAAAAATGGGTTGCTCATGTTTAATCTTGTACATGTCCTCATTATTGCACAGGACTTTAATGGTAGGGTTTCTGGTTTTGAGGTGGAAGCAGTTGACACAACTGGAGCAGGTGATTCTTTTGTAGGTGGACTCTTGAGCATTGTGGCTGCACACAAACACATTTATCAGGTGACATTTAGTATTTTATTTAGCTATCTAAGAGGGTTGAATACAAGCAGGGGTATGAAAAAACCGAATCAATCGAAACAGTGCATACCCCTAAATACAAGTAGGGATATATTTTTCTTATGTTGTAGAAAAAAAATTACCTCGTGTTGTAGAAATAAAAGTATAAGTGGGACCCACAGGTAAGAAGAGAGAGAAAAAAGAGTGATGGGACCCAACACTTTTTGTGTGTGTAAGAGAGTTGTTTATCTCATGTAAAATGAGATAAACATAACCCATACAAGTATTACCCATCTGTGATGAGATTTTTTTTATTACCTTCTCTTACGTTTAGTGAGCCTGATTTCTTGAGATTCATGCATGAATAAAAGGCCTGCATGAAAACTTAAAAAGGCATTTTATTTCACATGAGGAATCCTGATCTATTTACCAAGCTTATGGTTTGGAGAATTCCATGTCATGATGTTCCTTGGATGTAAACTTTGTATACATCTAACTTTTCTTATCCCAATTATCATTTATGATCTATGTAGTAATACCCCGAGAAATTGAAGGCTTGAAGCTATGTGACTTCAGTGTTCCATGCTATTTTCAGGATGAGAAAAGGTTAAGGGAGGCTCTTGATTTTGCAAATGCTTGTGGTGCTGTTACAGCGACAGGGAGAGGGGCTATACCTTCACTCCCCACAAAAGATGCGGTTCTCAGAATTTTGTTAATGTTCTCCAATTCATAGATGAGTAGAACATTTGGCAGTGATGGCAGCTGAATTGATCAACTAAAAGGTGTTGTATTCAATTCAAGCTAGTTGAAGCCTGGAATATGTTTGAAATGTGATAACTTTATTTCGCCATTAGACTTTTTTCAAAAAAGGAAAAAATATGAGTACAACACTTTGTTAGTAATATAATTATTATTACTAACATCTTAATATGCACTTGCTTATTCCATCAGGTGACTAATCTGTTTTGTGAAATTTGATTATTTGGATGGGCTTTTTTTCTCCAAAAACTGTCCCCTTTACCACCCCATCACCGTTTTGCTATTACCATTGCCTCCACCACTACCAAATTTACTTCCATGATTTGTTTTCACATATATTTTTAGTAATTTTATACAGGTCAACTACTATTAAATTTTTAAAAGAAAATTATTTCATGAGTAAATATCATTTTTGATCCTTAATAAATTTCACGATATCCGCTTTAGTTCCTAGCAAATAAAAAGGTTATTCGTGATCCTTAAGAAATTCAAAATGGATTCATTTAGTTGAAATTATGGTCCCTCACAAATTTAAAAAAGATTCACATTAGTCCCTCAAAAAGACTAAAATGGGTCCATTTTTAATTTTTTAGGGACCACGAATATACTTTTTATTTGTTAGGGACTAAAGCGGACATCATGAAATTTGCTGAGAAGTGAAAAAAATATTTACTCTTACTTTATTTACATAGTGATGTTCAATACCATCATCTTCTTTTGTGATACTCTTAATAACCTGAAGCTAGTTATGATGTGTTCAAGTTTTAGAAATTCGACGTTTTTTTTTAGGCCCAGACCGAATCACATTTCGAGTTGTCTTATCACACAATATTTTAAAACCTATGATTATGTCGATAATTAATGATAAATAATACATGTTAATAATGATAATAATTTATTTTGAAACATATACTATACAACATCCTTTAACTTTAGTCCTTTTTCTTTAAAATTTTATTATCCAATTCTGCATAATATCTAAATCTATGCATTTTATCAAAATGTTAAGTCAACTGAGTTATGACCCTCTCATTAATCGAGACATTTGGGTCTAGTCTAGATCCACAAAAGTAATTATTTGATGACCTTGTATTTCTAAACTTGTAATTCAATTATATTTGGATATATTTCGTACTTCGAGCTTTTAACTTTCACGTTGTATTTGGATTTTTTTTTTCCAAGAGTAATTAAGAGTTTTAACGTATTAAAAAAATAAGAGTAATTAAGATTATTTAAGAGTATGAATAGATAAACAATATTATAACTTACATTAAATCAAATAGAAATTACTTGTTAACTTCACCAGTCATAGCATGCCAAAATTTCCACCAACTAATAAGGGAAGACATACATATTAAACCCTATTCATATAACTAGTGAAAGTTCTTTTTTTCTTCTTTTTTGGTGAAAGTTCTTTAAAATCTAAATATAAGATGCAATATCATTCATCTCTGAGAACATTAGCAAACATCTCTGATATTATACATTAGAGAAAGTTGGGATTCCCCTTATTTTATACTTTCATAAGCAAGGATTAAATTATCTTCAATTGGACCTATGTAATCCAATGAACAATTCAGTCTCCACATCTGAACTTGGACTGCTTTCTTCATAGGGTTGATTTTCTCTCTGATCCTTTGTTGCTGGCTCTGGCTGGATATCATGCTGCATGGCAATTTCACTTAGTATTCGGTTTTCAGTTAACTAAAGGATTTCCAAATGCTAAAACAAGTATTGGACACAGATAAAAAGGCAAATCCCGATATATAAAGCTCCCTGACTTGGGAGGATAAAGGTGACGATCGATTGTACTTAGCTTTATCCTTGCATTTTTGTAAAAGAAATATTTACAAACTCAAACCCATGACCTTCTGGTCACAAAAAAATAACCTTACCGCTATTCCAAAGCTCGCCTTCAAGTATTCAACACAAATATGAAAACAAAATTCTAGACAGCATTAACTGTAGTGTAATTTCACCTGCTCAGAGAGCCTAGCATTTTCAGCAAGTAGGGATTTTTCCTGAATTGTATTCAAAACAAAGTAGTTAGAAATCATGAAGAAAAGAAAAGAACCTTCACTCTCTTTACCCAAAATAAAATAAAAATAAAAATGGAAGCATATTTTTCTAGGCCTGTATCATGAACTAATGCTAATTAGGCAAGAGTTTCAGATGACATTTAGTCACAACTGTATGGTGTCTGCATCTAAATTTGACAGAAAGATGGTTGAAATTAAACCAACTTTAATGAGATGCAGACACCTAACCCAGTTGGTAAGGTGCAAGTAGCATAAATTTGAAAGGGTTCCAACTTTATTTTTCTCCTCTTTCTTGCAGTTACTTTTTAGCTTACAAAAAGGTTAAAAAACCTAACATGGAAGAGATGAGAAAAGGTAGACTGAACTAAATGTGAACAATGAGGCTCAATGGATCAAAACCAGAATCAAATACTTCTTACAGAAGTTGAGTGCCACTAGGTTACATTAGCAGTCCAGTTTCTTATCACATTGAAAGATGACATTCATGGATTCAAGTTCAACCACCTTGTTGTCAACTACATGGACAACATACCTTTTCTTTTAGGTGCTCAATTTGTTCCTTGTAAACCTGAGTCTGGATATTAGAAAGATGGGATTCAAATATTTATCAAATTCAAAATATCAAAAGTACAAAATTCTACAGGTTTGTTAAGCTAACCTTTCTTTGTCGAATATTGCTTACACTCTTTTCCAACTGTTTTTCAATCTGTTGCAGTTCTTCCATGGAGCATGACCCCAATCCTTCTCCCAAGAGTTTCCTGAGGAATGAACAACACACATGCGACATATTTATTCTTTTGTTGTAAGTGCATTTAATTTAACATTGAATATGAACAATTTGTGAAGATGAATAGAAATTCAAGATCTTGAACCGTTTTGAAGCTTCAAGAAGCTCAATCTTCTTCATCAAGCTTGCTGCTTCTTGCTTCAAATGCTGCCATATATAAGGCAATTTCATTCAGTCTTCAGGATTCTAAGTTGAATGAGTATCTATGATAAGAGAATTCAGCAAGCAAATACAGATTAATCGAATGTCAACCAACCAATTCTCACCCACATTCACATCTAACATGTATAAGTTTATGCAGATGAAGATGAAATACCCTGCCTGGAAATGTTCAAAGCGTGAGAGTTTTCTAGTATTTAGAATTTTCAGGGTATATAAGTAGTTCTGCAAAAACCTTTTTATCATCAATCAAGTGCTAATAGTCATCATTGGTATATGCTTCATCTCTTCACCTCTACATCTGGCACAAAAACTATCAATGACATCATTAAAATATAAGTTTGCAAAAGTTCTACAAGCATGCTGATTTTTTTGCAATTCTTTGCACCCGGAAAGCCAATAATACTTGTCTCTGCACCAATTGCAAACGAGAACTCGTACATATATCTGTTGGGTTATTCAAGTATTGGGTTGTAACGAGGTGTCGGACCTACTTAGTGTGGATAGTTTAGCTTAGTTCATTGGTGGTGTTCTCTCGCCACGGGCTTCCCCTGGACCTGCCTAACAGTGGTATCAGAGCCGGGTTGAGCTTGGACTAGTCGGTGTTTGACCAGGAGACGGGTTGAATACTTGGGCTTGGGGTACTCAGTTGAAGGGGAGTATATCAATGTTAGGTTTCACCTTTGAGGGGGAGATTGTTGGGTTATTGTTGGGATATTCAAGTGTAATGAGTCTCATATTGGGTGGTAATGGCCTAAGCGAAATGTATATAATTAGGAGGACCCATGAACCCAGTACCTTAAGGTTTTGGGTTATGGCATGGTGTTAGACCCACTTGGTGTGGTTGGTTTAGCTTAATCCATTGGTAGTGATCCCCGGCCACAGGCTTCCCTGGACCCGCCTAACAGTGGTATCAGATCCGGGTTAAGCTCAAGCTAGTCTAGAGTTTTCTAGGAGGCGGGTTGAGTACCTGGGCTTTGGGGTACTCGGTTGAGGGGGAGCATATCAATGTTGGGTTTCACACTTGAAGAGGAGATTGTTAGGTTATACAAGTGTGATGAGTCCCGCATTGGTTGGTAATGGGTTAAGTGAAGTCCATATAAGTGGATGGATCCATGAACTCAATGCCTTAAGGTTTTGGGTTGAGACAAAGTGTCAAATCCACTTGCTAGCGTTGGGCTAGCTTAGCCCATTAGTGGTTGTTCCCCGCCATCGGCTCCCCCTGGACCCACCTGACAGTGGTATTAGAGCCGAGTTGGACTTAGGCTAGCCAAGTGTTTGGCTAAAGGCGGGATGAGTACTTGGACTTGGGTACTCGAGGGGAAAGTGTATCAATGTTGGGTTTCACACTTAAGGGGAAGATTGTTGGGATATTCAAGTATGATGAGTCTCGTATTGTCTGTTAATGGGCTAGGTGAAGTGTATATAACTTGGAGTATCCACGAACCCAATGCCTTAAGGTTTTAGGTTGTGACATGGTGTTGAATCCACTTGATGTGGTTGGTTTAGCTTAATCCATTGGTGGTGTCCCCGCCATGGGCTCCTCTAGACTCGTTTGACAATATCCACCATTTGTACCCGACTTCCTATTCTAATTCAAGAGCTTGATAGAATATGTAACCTACTCTTGTTCAAACAAATAATTTTTCTCAATTACTTCCTTTTGCCAACATTGCATAAACGTATAATTTCCTCTAATTTTTGGAGTCGTACTAGCTAATTCCCTTATGTTGGAAATTCTCAAAGGTGAGTAATAAAAAAAAGAGTCCTGTATTGAGAAGGAATAAGCTAAGTACGGTATATATTACAAAAAGAACCAATAAATTTAATATTTTATGATTTTGGGTTAAGATATAGTATTGGACTCCCTTATTATGAGTTTATCGCTTAGGCATATGGGTGTAAATGAGCTGGGTGAGGCCTGCCTAAAATACTTTAGGCCTGACCTTATTTGTTAGTCTTGTATAGGCCAAAATTATAAGTCTAGCTTGACCTATATTTAAAAAATAAAAAATTTGGCCTAGGCTTGTTAGCATGTTTAACTCTATTAGACATTCAATAATTAAAAAATAATAATTAAAATAATATTACTTTATTGTTCAAAATCATTAAAATAATAATTTTATTTATTTTATTTAAAATAAATAAGGGTTTGGTGTTTGTCATTTTAAATGACATAAGTTATGTCATTTTAGGAGAGAGATAGACACAGAAAAATGGAAATCATGGGAGAGAGAAAGTGAGTGATTTTTTTTTAATTTAAAATTTAAATAAAATTTGTTTTTCTGTGTCTGTCTCTCTCTTAAAAGGACAGAGTGTTATGTCATTTAAAATGACAAACACTTTTCCCAAATAAATAATATGATACAAGTTTATAGGCTGGGTCTTGTAAAAGTTTCGCCTATCACATACTTACTAAAAAAGGTTTTTTTTTACTACTTAAACCTGTTCTATTTTACTAAATATAATAAATCAAAACTTGCCTAATTTAGGTCAAGCTGTAAACCCCTAATAAGCCATCTCCCCATTTACATTCCTACTTTACTTTTTGATAAGTTAACTATAGTCTCCCCTAATTTCGCAGGTCACTCCATCATACATTTTAATTTTTACCATTCCAAATCCAAACCATCACACATGGAGTTGCTACCTACAGTGATTACACAATTACGAACCCGTGGAACGTATCAAATTAATCTAAGGCCAGAGCAAAATGAACAGAACATTGCACATTGTCTTAGATATAGTACTGTGCCTACTAGCCCTTCTTACTCTTTGCTCAACCACCAAAATGATTATATGAAGGCAGAAAGAGCATAACAATAAAAGGGCTTGATCTTTATCTTCTGTCTTTCATGGTAAGCGACAAACCACAATAATTAGATTTAATATCATATCTTAACTCAACATCTAAAGATAATTGAGTCTATGAATCATTTCATTTATATGGTACTTACCAAGTTTATTCCTAACTAATATATAAAACTTACCACTCACTTGAATTTTCAATGGTTATCATAAGCCCGGTAAGCTGTACAAACTCAAGACCTTTTATTGAGATATTAACCTCATACGCCTATTTACTTAGTCACGATCAATAGAGTTGTGTTTCAGACCTAGTAAGTGGTAACGCATTTTTCACTAATTGACAAGCTTAATATTATTTGGTGTTGGAAAGAATATCTTTAGGATATTTTTATTATTTATAAAGATCTATTTCCTTATTTCATTAGGATTTAGGTTACATCTGGGCTAAGCCCATTAGCATTTCTTTATGTATTGTACTCTACTGAATCAATTTATTATATAGATTTATTCAATGTTCCTCTCGTCTCTTGTTATTTTACATGGTATCAGAGTCTAACGAGAGAAATCCTTGTCTGCATTTCCTTACTCTTTTTCATAATTTTAATATAGTAGTGGAGAGATATCACCCTCCGTAAGGGATTGGCTTTCCTGTCTGTTCCCTTTCTATCTTTCTCTCTCTGCTTCTCTTAGTTTCTTCTTTTCTTTCTTGTCTTCCATCGAAGACCCAACCACCATAAACAACTAGCACCGGCCAGAACCATCATTGCCTCTGCACAGCAACAGTTCTCGTCGTCCCTGTTCATCCGGTCACTGCCACAGTCCACCGTCGGAAATTTGTCCAACGACTTTACGGCCACCAACCACCATCGTTCGGATCGTCTTCCCCGTGCGCTCAGCGTCGTTCAAGCCGCGTCTCTTTCCTCCGGCCGCATCATCTTTTCTTCTTCGGGCGAATCTTGTTTCTTCCCGCTGTGTTTTCTTCTTCTTTGGTGATTTATTATTTTTTATTTTGATTTTGTTTTATGGCTTGTATTTGGCCAATTTTATTTTATTCCCAGATATGTTTGTGGTGTTATTCAAGTCTGATTTGACTTGTATTTGATTTATTTTTGCCATTATTGGGTTTATTTTGGCCTCCTATTCAGGGGCAGCATTTATCTCCATTGTTGCCTCGTCCGCGAATTATTCCAGTTACACTGGCTCCGTCAGCTTGTATTCCAGTTGCAACATTATCTTTTTCTTAACTCTTCCTTTGCTGATGTCTATTCCAGCACCATCTCTTTACTAGCTCTTCAAACTGATAATCATTCCAATTGATTTGCTGTCGATTTCTCCGACTTATATTCCGTGAAACTTCGTTTTAGTTTTCTTTCTTTCCAAGATGAAGTGTCCCTCCATCTCGAGGGGGAGTATTCGAGATATAGATAATATTTTATTTTAGTTTATTATGTTTGTTATTTTTTTTTAGGGTGAGTTGTAGAGTTGTTACAACCCCCACTCGTTTATTTTGATGTTATGTTTCTTAGTCTTTTTAGTTCAAGCTTGTTTCTTATGATCTATACGCTTCAGCTTGAGGGGGAGTGTTGGAAAGAATATCTTTAGGATATCTTTATTATTTGTAAAGATCTATTTCCTTATTTCATTAGGATTTAGGTCAGATCTGGGCTAAGCTCATTAGTATTTCTTTATATATTATACTCACCTGAATCAATTCAATATACAGATTTATTCAATATTCCTCTCGTCTCTTATTATTTTACATTTGGAATCCAAAACAATGGCAAAGTTGGTTAAATAATCAATTACGGAAATGAAGAATAATTAGTTAGTTTGGACTAGTCTTGAAAGGAACAATAAGAGGCACATGAAATTTGGTTTTCTTCCCAAACAAACATACAAGGAAAACAAAAAACAATTATGAGGAAAGAAAAAGCATAGGCATATTCAATTTTCATCAGCCTGTTTGCTTTCATATTACAAAAGATAATGAATAGAAACTGATAAAGAAAAAAAAGAAAGGTATATTAACCTGATTATTTTGTTCATCCGGTTTGTGTGCTGTTTGAGAACTCCTGTTATGCCTGCGGTAGCGTTCAATTGTCTCCTGCATGCTGTTTCATAAAATCCAATATTACTAGTCTCACATGATTCATGGTAAAAATAATAAGTAAATAACCTGCACTTGCTTAAAAATGAGAAGGATAGGTCAGGGGAGTCCATGATCACCAATTATTATTTCTTAAAGGCACTCATGTTAACTAGATCATATTCTACTTGTGCATTTTACATGACATCTTTACCAAACACTTTAAAGTATTAAGTCTGGATATATTTTTCAGTTATATAATTCTTACTTTGTTCATTCATTGTCAATGTGGACTTCTTGACTTGCACTTCAAATTTAATGGGTGTTGAGTTTGTTTCTGTTATCATCTTTAGTTTATGTTATTATTTATAATCATAAAGACTTTTTTATTTGAGATTAATGTTTCTCATGTTGTAGGAGACAAAGATAATTTTATCTCCTACACACAAATAAAAGTGTGGGATCAATATTTTCTCTTTCTCTCTCTTCTTTTCATATGATCTCACATGGGCCCCACACACTTTTATGTATGTATAACAGTATAAGAGATAAAATTATCTCGTACAACATGAAAAACATCAAACCTTTTTTATTTTTATGTGGTTTCATGTTTTCAACATTTATGAAGAAATGGTAAAAAGAATACTTATTTATTTTTATCATTTATTTACAAAATTTAATGAAAATTAAAATAATATAATATTTTTGACAATTAAAATAAAAAAAGAATAAAATAAAATGAACACCTTTCTTGATTTGCATAATTTGCATTTCCTAGAATTTCAAAACTTGATCAACATACATATATAAGAAAAGAATAGGGTTGGCAAAAACGAGTCAACCCGTCACTCGCCAAAAATAAGTCGGATTGGGTTGGCAAAAATGAGCTGCCAACCCGAGCCAGCTCATGAAAAAACGAGCCAACCCGCGGGTCAAAAGAGTCAGCTCGCGGGTTCAGTTTTTTTTTTTTTTTTTTACAAAAAATATAATATACAAAAATGGACAACACTCACACATGCTGTCATCATCTTTCTTCCTTCTCTAAACCTAAGTTCCTAATCTTCTCACATCCCTGCCATTTTTATATTGTTAGGTTGTGTTGGCTCTGTTTGGTTCAAACATCTTACCCACTTGGTAGCAAGTGGTTCTGATTGTTTCTTGATGTTGGTGCAAATTTGTTGTGAAGAAAATTCGAAACTCTAATATTTTGCTTTTATTTCTCATTTTGTAACCCTTTGTTTAAGCTGATGGAAGCCACATAGCTGGTGTATTAATACTACAGGTTCATTTAAATAAGCTGAAAACGAGCCAACCCGCAAGCAATTTTCGAGCCAACCCTCGAGCCAATTTTCGAGCCAACTCGCGAGCTATTTTGTCAAGCCAACCCACGAGCCATATTTTTGAGCCAACCCTAACCCGACTCGGGTCGGGTTGGGTTGGATTTTCTAGCTCGTTTTTTTTTTCGAGCCAACTCTAACCCGGCTCGTTTCTTTCGGGTTGCATGCAGGTTAGGCCGGGTCGAGTCGGGTTGACCCGTTTCGCCAACACTATAAAAGAAGACTTCCTTTTAGCTCTAATCTTCTTTTCTTTACCCTCCAATATTAGAGGCCTCACCCCTATCTTTATTACTACAACCGTTACCCGATAAATCTAACCTCTCACCAGGACAAAACTGATAAAATTCTTTCTATATTTGAGTTGCCATTTTCTTATAAAAAAAATACAACATGTATTATATTTAGCCATCTCATCTTTATTTTAAAGTTCTTATGCTTCCTTTAATAGTTGTAGCTCAATTAGATTATGCATAAATAATAAATAATAAATAAAATAAAATAAAATAATATTTACTTTTCATATAATTGGTGAATAACTAAAAATATATTCTATGCATAAATTTTTTAAAAAATAATAGGTCAACCTATACAAGAATTAAAATTTAGAACTTGACACCAATAGAAAAGCATAAATATCTCAAATCGTCACATTTAATGGAAATTTATATTATTTTATCTTAATAGTGTTTCTAACTATGAAAATAATTTATTATCATAAAGACACAAATATTCAAGAGGAAGTTTTGCATGTTGAAAATGATAAAAGGAGAAGAATTAACCTCTAAAAGGAGGATCTTTAGAAAACAAAAAATGAAGATATATATATATATATATATATTATATGGAAAACATTTTCTCATGTTGCATGAGAATTCAATTCTCATGTTGTGACCATTCGATTTGCGTGCAAAATTTTCTTTTCTTTTTCTCTTTTTAATAAATGTGGGGTCCACCACTAGTTGAGTCACAACATGAGAATTCAATTCTCATGCAACATGAGAAAATCAAACCCCATATATATATATATATATGGAAATCGAGGGAATTAAAAGAAACTAGTTACAAAATCTTGGTCTACTAGAAGGAGAGATCTACACCCTTCACGAGGATTAGCCAAAACACACAAGTTCCAATCTTCTTGACTTTGGTTGAACATTGCTAGCTAATTGGCAACCATGTTCCCTACCCCGAAGGTATGGGAAACTTTGGTCGTCCAAGGTCTGCTCAAAAAACTTCTGATCTTCTTAACCAGAGGAGCAAGAGGATGTTGGTCACAACAATCAGCATGGATAAGTTGAATTGTTGTCAAGGAGTCCCCTTCAATCTACACCTGTTTATATCCAGCATTCCAAGCAAGTTCAACTTCATTCAAGAACCCCAAAAGTTCAGCTCTTAACCCTAATCCACTGCCCCATCTCATTACGAAGCAAACCTTCACAGATAGGCAACAACTTCTCTCCCACCTTATATTTGTTTATGAGGACTTAGACCCAGAGAGAGTCCCTCTGAGTCATGATCCCATGTCTTAGTTTCATCAGAGCATCCTGGTTGAGGTGCCTTGCTTGACGCAAGCCAAGACCCTCATGGTTCTTATCTCTACATACAATATCCCACGCGACAACATGAATATTTCGATCATTGTTAGGAGATTCCCAGACAAAGTCACGAGCTCTTTTGTCAATATCTTGACATACCTGCACTGGAAGAGGGCAAGTAAGCATCAAATACAAGGGTATAGCAAACAAAACTGAATGAGTGAGCGTGGTTCTGCTAGCTAAAGAAAGGGACGATCTTTGCTATGAACTTAACCGCTTGTCTATCTGATTGAGAATATGAGAGAACACAGAGGCCTTGACTCTTCCTTGCATCAGCGGAATACCCAAGTATTCCTCATAATAGCAGTTGCAGAGAAGCCCAAAGTATGAGCAATCTCAGTTGCCCGAAAGTGATTAATGCTCCTAGAAAAGAGAACCTGCGTCTTCTCCCTGTTAATTTGCTGACAGGAAGCAGCACAAAAACAGTCCATAATCTTGGTTAAGAGTTGAGCTTGCTCCATAAAGGCTTATGCAAAGAGTAGCACGTCACGTGCAAAGAAGATGTGTGATATTGGAGGGCCATTCTTTCTAAGAACAACCAGTTTTCAGAGCTTCATATTGGCTGCTTCGTTGATGATGTGGGCAAACCTCTCAATGCAAAGAACAAAGAGGTAAAGGGAAAGGGGGTCCCTTTGTCTTATAACATTCGAGGGTTGGAAGTCCCTGGTAGCATTGTAATTCCATACATTCATGATGTTGATTCACACACATTCCATGATAAGCTCAGTGGCCTTCGAAGGGAACCCAGCTTCAGATAGAGTTTGACCGAAGGAAATTCCAGTTTACCCGATCATACGCTTTCTCTGAATCTACCTTGATCTCCATCCAAGATTTCTTCCCCGTCTTGATTCTCAAAGAATGAAAATTTTCCTGTGCAATAAAAATATTGTCTGTGCTATGTCTGCCCTTGATGAAACTGCATTGGTTAAAAAGAATCAAGGAGTCCATATGAGGTTTCAGCAGGTTAGAGATGAGTTTTGTTACCACCTTGTAAATAACGTTACATAAACTGATAGGTCAAAAGCTCTTCAAGGAAGAAGGATTCTCAACCTTAGGAATAAGGCATATATGGGTATGATTAATGGACTTGATCTTCTCAGGAGAGGCAAGGATCTCACGAATCAAGGAGTAAACTGAGGTTTCAATTTTCTTCCATTGGCTCTAAAAGATGGCGTGAAGGCTGTCAGGACCAGAGGATTTATAAGGGTGCATACCAAACACTCTGTCCTGAATCTCCTTATTAGTGGGTATGGCTCCTAACCGAAGGAAGGAAGCCTTCTCAACCCTAGGGAAAATTTTCATCACCAAAGGGAGCCAGATGCTAGGAGTACATCCATTGGTGTAGAGTTTCTCAAAGTAAGCCACAACCATGCCTTTAAGTTTATCCGAATCAGATACCCAGTTACCTTATTCATCTTGGAGAGAATTAATTCTGTTAGCCCTACGCCTTATGACCGTTGCTGCAAGGTAAAATCTTGTGTTCCTCTCACCAAACACCAACCAATTGCACCTAGACCTTTGGTACCAATTGAGTTATTCCTGGAGATAGATTAGGTTCAGACCGTCCTACAGTTTGTTGCGCAGTCTGTCCATATTTGTTCTTCAAATGGGCCCTGAACGTATTGCAATGCTACTTAGAAGTAGCTTCTCTAAAAGCATGGCAACCCGAGGATCACTGGCGGAGTTTTTCCAGCATTGGTTGACCACCTCACTGAAACTCTCACAGGTAAGCCAAGATGCTACATGTAACATCCCGGTGGCTGTAGAGGGCGAGAAGTGATCGTCGGAGCAAAGAGACACAGACAAAGTGCGGCTCTTGACAGGTTTCCAATGAAAGAGCACATGAATGAATCGAATACACACCCGAAAGAAAGGGATTCCAAATACTGTACAAATACTACCTATACTAACAAAATGCATCTACCTTTCAGTAGCCTAGAATGGGAGAACTCTATAGTTAAGCGCATCGGCGGACCCACACTATTGCAAGTGTGGGCACTTGCAGACACAAGTATTTTTGGGGAGGGGGGATTTTTTTGCGAAAGATTAAAGGGTGATTTGAACAGCTCATAATGTAAAATATGCCAAGGCTA